CACACACACACACACACACAGAGAGAGAGAGAGAGAGAGAGAGAGAGAGAGAGAGAGAGAGAGAGAGAGAGAGAGAGAGAGAGCTAAAAATAATGACATTGCCGGGCGAGGAGAAAAGTCGTTAGAGAGGGGTTGATTATATTTGTGAAAGCATATGCAGCTGCCGTCCCTGTCGCCGGATTCGTCATGAAGCTCAATGATGGGAAGGTTGTGGCAATTGTGTTCCAATAAGAGAGAGTTTCTTGATGTACATGCATAGGCGTGCGGCCCACGTCCCACACGGCCACACGGCAAACTCAAGTACACGCGCGCGCGCACTCTCACACACACCACAACGCACCCGCACTCTCTCTCTCTCTCTCTCACACACACACACACACACACACACACACACACACACACAGAGAGAGAGAGAGAGAGAGAGAGAGAGAGAGAGAGAGAGAGAGAGAGAGAGAGAGATTTTTCTACTCTTTCGCCGGAGATAGGCGCACGGACGCGGATCTGCGCTGTTTCTTTTTGTCATGAGTGAAACAGCTCACCGAAGAAGGGGAAGGAAGGCATCGAATGATAGAAACCTTTCTTTCTGTTTTCCCCCGTCTTGCCCTTCCTACTGGCAAGCTTGGATACTTGCATCTCTAATCTTGCTATGCCTCCATAGTTGCCTTGCTTGATTGCTCGATTCCCTAATTTTCCCTCCTTTTGTAATCTTTTTTTCTTGCTGTGTATTTAAAGGAGAAGCCATGCAGCCGGTGCTGGGTTGCCTCCATGCCAACTGACCATCAGCTAACCTCTCAGCGAACCTATCTACCAACGAATCAATTGACGAATGAACCTCTCCTTCCCCTGAGCACAACGCACTCCGATCATTCATGTAGTCAAGCGATCTTTCCGTCCGATACAGCGATGGTTAGGGTGCGTTGTGTGGGGCGGAAAAGAAGTGAAGGCATCAGCCAACCAACCGACCAATCACCCATCCAACCGATCACCCAATCGCCCAACCACCCAACCACTCAACCGCCCAATCACCCAACCACCCAACCACCCAACCACCCGATTAACCAATCAACCAATCAAGCAATCAACTAATCAACTAATCAACCAATCAGCCAATCAACCAATCAAACAATCAACCAATCAGCCAATCAACCAGTCAGCCAATCAACCAATCAACCAACCAATCAACCAATCATTCAATCAACGAACTAACCGTCAATCGAAAGCCGATCAATCGGCCAAACACCAATCAAGCACCTGCTGCGGACGAATCGAGCACAAACCACACATCACCGATCCCCCGCCGAACCTACCGCCAAGAAACGGCCACGCTAGTAACTGCTACCTTCTTCCCCCGAATACAACGTACGGTCATTATATCTGTATTTGAGGCATCTTTCAGTCTACATACAGCTATAATGACCGTACGTTGTATTCGGGGGGAAGAAGGTAGTATGGTAAGATGTCAGTTTCATCCGTGCCGGAGCCTAACCAACCGCAAACCAATCACGAGTTGTTGGAACCAATCAAGCAAACATTGAAATGAGTACTTGAACCATGTGATTAATCATTCAAAGAAAAGTCTTGTTAACCGGATTGAAGTGTTCGCTTTCGCGGGCTGTCGTAAGGAGACGATGACTCGTCGAATGCATATTGCTTACGTGGAGATTGAGGACATGGAAAAGTAGTGAATGCGATTCTGTCATTCTTCTCATAAGGCCAGGTTATGCAGGTGGCTACCGGTAGGTGCGGCAAAATACGGTATTACTGTAACGCCGTTAGAGACTGGGGCCACCCCTGATTATGTATGGTCATTATGGTTGAGCATCTTCACAGGCGGAGGGAAAAGGCTCATTGACTCTGTCGACACTTCTGCTGCTGCTGCTGAAAGTGATGAAGATCATGATGATATGATCCCGCGATCACGATGGTTGCAACGACGACGATATGATGATGATGATGACGAGGAGGAGGAGGAGGAGGAGAAGGAGGAGAAGGAGGTGGTGATGATGACGATGATCATGAGGAGGAGGAAATGATGGCGTTGATTAGGAGATGAGGACGATAGCGGCGGCGACGACGACGACGATGATGATGATGATGATGATGATGATGATAACGATGAGGTGATGATGATGATGATGAGGAGGAGGAGGAGGAGGAGGAGGCGGAGGAGGAGGGAGACGACGATGAGAAAGAGCACAAGGGATGTACGGTTTGCTCTGAAGTGCCCTGTATGACCGTTCTGCTGTTATTGGCAAGAACAAAGTGACTGGAGATAGGGGAATGGGCATTGCCGTCGCGCTCAAGGCGTCGGTCGATCCGTATGGTGATTAACAGAGCCATGAGATGTTCGGTAGAAGTAATTGAAGTAATTGATACATAACTGAGTTCGAGGGCTGAACGAGCATGTTGTGTCCTTCCTGTCCTTAGTTCAGCTCGGGAAGAATGGAAAGTTGTGTCAGCGGGATTGCGATGAACGTGGATTAAGTTTGTGGGAGGAGTTATATGATTACAATAACAATAACTCGAGTTGAGTAGGTTGTGATGTGGTTAGAGTAACGAGGCAGGGGCGAAGGAAGGTAAGACGTTAGAGGTGGGAGTTGACAGAGAGTTGGGGTGCGGGGATGACGTATGTCGCCGTACGAGGGATTGCCCAAGCGCTGTGTCAATGAATGGGTTGGTGTGATGGCGATCCTGGGAAAGGCCGGACTGCATTCTTCTGGCTCGTCGGCGCTGATGGGATACGAAAGGTGCTATGTCTTAGTGGCCCATTCATTCGTTCCTTTGTCGGCAGGACGAGGGGATTGCTGGTGGCTTTGCGGGCGTGCTCATCAATGCTGAGCTGGTTCTCCCGTCGAGCCTCCAATTCAGCATAATGCGTGCCTAAACGAGAGAGAGAGAGAGAGAGATGGTTCTTCCGTCAAGCCGTTAACTCAGGACACGGACTTTTCACTTGCATACGAAGTAATGCGTCCCTAAACTGGGGAGAGAGAGAGAGAGAGAGAGAGAGAGAGCAGAGGATCATAAGATATGTGCACGAGAAAGAAGAGGTTAAGATGACACGATGTGTATCAGGGGAAGGCGAGTGCTCCTCACTACTGGTAGCCGGCTGCATAACCTTTGCACCTACCGGTAGCCGCCCTGCATTACCGTCCGTGACAACAACGTGTAGGCGTATGCTGCATGTGATTTCTGACGAACAGTGTTCCTAAACTATACACTCCTGTAACTCGATGACATTTCTGACCCACAGTTCCGTAACTCTATGACATTTCTGACCCACAGTTCCGTAACTCTATGACATTTCTGACCCACAGTTCCGTAACTCGATGACATTTCTGACCCACAGTTCCGTAACTCGATGACATTTCTGACCCACAGTTCCGTAAGGTTTTCAATCGCTTTGGTGCGTGCCCCCGTTGCACGCCCTTTTTCTGTCCACAGGTTAATCTATGCAAATGTAGGCAGGATACAGATCTGTTCCTTGTTGGCAGATCTGTATCGAACGCACAATGCATCGGTTGCCTCTTCTCTTCTTAATGTTTAACAGTGCATCATTCCAAGTGACTTCTTCAAGCAAAACATTTGCAAACAATCGCGGCGTGTCTCTCCGCAAGTCAGTCGCGCGTTTCTTTGTTGTATATATGTCCTAATAACTCCGACGAAACAGTCTGTCACGGCCCCTCGTTTGTTGTCCCACTATTTTCCCTCTCTGCCTACGGTTCACGGGCAGTTCTCGATGACGATACACAGGGTTCAGCCTCCTGATAAGTCAGTGAGACTCCGACGAAACATTATGTCACAGCCCCTCGCTTGTTGTCCTCTTCTCCCTCCCTCTCTGCCTACGGTTTACCGTAGGCAGCTCTGTTTGACTTCTCCCTCTCTGCCTACGGTTTTACCGGGCAGCTCTGATTGACGATATATATATAGATACAGTGTGACAATAGCAGGCGCATGCCTTCTCTTATGGCAGATTTTAATTTTCATATTCCTTCTTTTTCTGTTTCTGTTTCTTTTTCTTCTCCTTCTTTTTCTGTTTCTGTTTCTTTTTCTTCTCCTTCTTTTTCTTTTTCTGTTTCTTTTTCTTCTCCTTCTTTTTCTGTTTCTGTTTCTTTTTCTTCCCCTTCTTATTTCTTTTTTGTCTTTGCTAGCCACCGCCTCCCAATGTGGGACGACATCTGTATATTGCGGGCCCTCTGTTGTGGTTCCGTTTATCTCGACTCTTGATTATATTTAGAGGTTGTGTTCATGTTTTGTGATTGCCTGTTAGGGTGTGACCTGCGAAGGAACATGGTGCTGTGACATTCTTCTCCCTTCTCAATGGTGTCCAGGATTGTTGTGATGGCGGTCACCGCAAGGACATGGGTTGTCCCCCCATCCCGTGTAGTGGGTATAGTTACGGCCAGCCTAAGGTCTGCCAAACCCGGGTTGCTGCCCCCATGCCCACTCACCTTTCTGTGGATGCAGAAAGGACGGTGGCAGGTTTCCCGGCCTGAGCCATCGGGCCTAAAGTCCTGCTTTCCTGGGCACTTGCTGTACCGAGTAAAAATAAAAAATAAAAAATAAAAAACAAAAAAATTCAAAACTCAAAAAATTAAAAAACTTTCATAATTCTCTTTAACAAAAACATGTCGTTATCATTACAGATAAATCAGGGGGTTAGTTCATTCGGGACTCTTCCTGTTGGTGGCGCGACAGGCACAGGCACAGCACTGCTTCCTTCTCTTCGTTCACGGGGCCACAATCCCCCTTTCTCTAACTGGCAACGCGTTGACTGGCTTGTTGGCCCCCTTTCTCTAACCGGCAACGCGTTGACTGGCTTGCCCATTATCGCTGGAATACTGATTTGTATTCCGCGGGAACGTGGCGTAAAAAGCAATTGCGCTGTCTACATACTGTCACCGCAACTGAGCGCTTTGAACTACAGCTGAGAGGTATCGACCAGCAGCTGCTCCAGCCAGGCAATGATCCGCTTCCTGTTACTGGAGTTGTTTATGCTGTTGTGCATATACCCTCTGGGCGTCTCTATGTTGGCCAGACAATCCATACTGCTCATCTGCTGTTGATTATCGTCATCGGCACCTATATCACGTCATGCGACAACAGTCTCCCTTCAATTTTGCTGTTTGGCCGCTTGAATGTATTGATCGTGCGCTGTACATTACTGATCGCGGTGAGATTGATCATGCCCTCTTTCGGCGGGCGGCGTCACCTAGAGAGGGTTTCTGGGTCCGACGGCTGCGAACCTTGCACCCTTCGGGCTTCAATGCAGTTTTGCCCATGTCTTGATTACCGCCTCCTCGATGGCAGCCACGCCCCGATCGCTGGCGGCAAGTTGGTCCTTCCTCTGCTGCTTATCATCATTGTGCCGTTTCTCCTCTCCCGTCTCCAACTGGCGTCTCCTCTCGGGCCTTCACCATTGATATTAGCCCGGGCCCTCAACTAGCAGTACGAACAACGTTACGGCGGTTATTGACATTAGGCGCAGYGGGTTCTTGGTCCGAAGTTGTTGCTTCCATTCAGCAGGCTACGCCCGCTTGGCGAGCTCGCCTGCTGCAATGGCTGTATATAAATGTTTCTAACGCARACATGACTGCGGACGTCCGTGAACTTGAATGCCTTATTCGGCGATTTCAACACGTCCGACAACGATATACTGCTCATTCCCGTGACACCTTTGGAAACTTCATCAGAATTGTGCATATGCATGAGATCCTGAAGGCTACTAAGGTGCGCCATGTGTTGCATTCTCCGGATGTGTGTGCATTACACCCCGACCCCCAGGCAGCTAGCAGCATTCGCATCTGTGACAAACTCGTGCCCCCAACAAGGGTACAATTCTGTAATTTTACGGAAGTGGCCTTGAGTGTCACTCCGGACCTGTGCCTACCTGCTGCTG